CACACACACACACACACACACACACACACACACAGATGGATGATTTACCCTCAACACAGGACAGAAAGAGCCTAGCCTTCCTCCACTCCATACTCTTAGCAGACCTCACAGATATGTTGTGTCAGTTAAACCCAAGATCAAATCTCAACTTCTCAGTGGGACCTTGACTCTGAGCATCCCCTATTGTGGCCTCAGCTTATCCCTTGGTACCTAGAAAGCGTTTATCAGACCTGAGGTGTCAGTCCCTCTTCTGCCTTATCACAAGTTGGATCCAGATTTGAGCAGCATGATCAATAATCATGGCATGGTACCAAACCTCACAAACTCTGGCCTGTGTGAGGCCCTGGGCCCCTTGAGTCGGAAGCCCTAGCTGACCAGAGAATAGTAACAATGGAAGGATCTAAGTAAGAATGTGTCCTCAGAGTTGGTACTGGGTTCCCCGGGGACTACTATTCTGAGGTCTTTCCAAAGAGCCTAGTGCTGTGCTCTTTCCATTAGTCCCAGGCCAAATGTCTTACTTTTGTCCCCATCTCTGGCAGAATGTTAGGATTTAGGGAACGATAGGGGGGCTGGCGCTATATGTAAGTGTCTATTTATCACTCAGGCATTTTACTCAGCATTTTACATGTACTAACTTTGGGAGATGGTTCCTGCTACTGTACAAAGTTAGAAAGGAGGGCAAAGCCTGGCCTGCAGAGCAGGGCAGAAGGGGGTCCTTCCAATCCTCTGCCTTTATGGAGCTCGGAGAGGAAGCTGAGGAGACCTTGCTGACATTCCAGGCCCAGCAAGAGGCCTTAGAGAGTTTTGGGCTTCCTGGCCTTTAGGTGGTTCCCATTTCTCTGGACTCTGGGACAATGATCCACACAGTGAGAAGGTGAATCCATGCACCCTACAAAGTCTGTGTTCTTCACATCGTGAAATCCATTGGCTCTAAGAAATGAGATCCTATGTTTCTGAGTTCTGGTTACTACATAATTTGAAGACCCAACAGGTCCCAATATCCATGAGGCCTGCCTAACACGGACCAAGGGTCCAACTTTGGGCCCCTCTGACATCCAAGAAAGACAGGATCTACAGAACTTGGGGTTTGCATGGTGGCCAGATGGACGTCACCTACCACATCCGCTAGCACCCACATCACGCTACCTGGGCCCATCCGGCTACAGGATGGACCAGCCAGTTCTCGGAACGAAACCTGTGGGGTGGGTTGTCTGCCCCCTTCTCTTCCTCTTTGTTGCCGATGAAGCCCGGTGCATCCGGCCGCCATGACGTCAATGGCAGAAAAATCTGGCCAAGTTGGGGTTGTGACAACAGGGCCCAGATGTAGACCCCGATAGGAAAACATACTCTATGTCCCAGAAACAACCTCCATACAGCTTCTAAGAAACAGTCAAAAAGGGACGCCCCAACAGACAGTGCAGGAAGCTGGCTGGCCAGCCCAGCCCTCCAGGTCCCTACTACCACTAGACAGACCATATCCAATTTAGGTCCCCTTTCTGAGAAGGTACTGATGCTTCCCAGAGTCACACCAGTTCCAGACATATTTAGGGGGGAGAATTCTCCTAAATTCTGGCCAAATACCTAGCCTGCTTCAAAAGTGACCATGGTCCACCCATGAGGGCTAAGCCACTATGGTGGAAAATTCTACTCACCAAACTTGATATACATTTGCTCGGACTGCTGTAATGAAGTGTCACAAACTGGGTGAATTTTACAGCATAGTTTATTGTGTCACAGTTCTAGAGGTTAGAAGACCAATATGTCAGCACGGTTGGCTCCTTCTGTAATCTACTCTTGGCCTTCTAGTTTGTTTTCTTTGCTCTCTTTGCCTTGGAGAACCATCACCTCATGGCTGCCTGCCTTCATTCAGTCTTTCACTTCCTCTTCTCATCACTGTTCTATGAAGCCCGTGTTCTCAGCCTCTACAGACCCAGACTCCTGGTTCTCATGCTAATGGTTTAACCCATGAGACACTGCAGTTTTAAACTCAGGGCCACAGTTCTGATGATCCCCATGACATGATAACAAAGAAGCAATTGGCTTCCAGAACACTTCTGTGCTCCCCTGGCTGTTTTCAGAAGCCATATGCCCAAGGCATGTAGTACAGTAGACTAGAGAATGACATACACACATGTACACATCTACAAAGCAGGGAGTTGTGAACTGTAGACATGGATACATACTTCCTAGACCAAGATGTGGAGACATCAGCCTGGAATGGTGACTTGTAATCCCAGCACTCAGAAAGCAAACAGTTCAAGGACAACCTGGCTATATAGTGAGTTCCAGGCTAGTCCAGGCTACATGAGATCCTATCTAAAAAGAAAAGGTTACAGGCTATGAACAAACTGTAGAAATATGAACCTGGGGTACCCCTTTAACTAAAGATCCCTCACTTCAAGATCTGGTTGCCTCTCTGACTAGAACTATAAGATCCAAAACAAAAACAAAAGCCATGCCCCTCAGGATCTATAAGGTAATGGGGCTCAGCAGAGGGGCTTGGGTCACCATGGAGGGCTTTAAGGAGGAACACAGAAGACAGGTCTGGCTAGGGGAAGACGAGATGCTGCAGGAATTCCAAGCTTGGGGAGCAAAGATTGGGGCAAGTAGGGATGAGGCTAATTTGGGGAGCTCCCAAGGGCCCTGGATCAAGAAATCCTGTCCCTCCTTTTTCTGGCACCTGCCATGTTAACTCCATGCAGGACAAAAGCCCTGAGCTGTGCAGTCCTGAGTTCAGTTACCTACCTGCATGTCTACCCTCCATCTAATTGCTTACCTTTGCATGCAGCCACATCGGACTGCCATCTGCAAACTCTACTCCTCCATTCTCCATCTCTGGCAATGATTACTTTGTCATAGCTGCTTATACAAAACCCCAGATGTCATCTTGACCCTTTCTCCCATCTCCTACATCTAAGCCTCCAGCAACTTCTCCTGACTCTGTCTTCAAAAAAAGACTTACTATCTAGCCATTCCTTACCAGCTGCTCTGCCATTATCCGGGTTGGTAGCAGCAGCATCACTGACCTAAACTATTGCAGTCCACTTCTCACTAGTACTACTAAGTTCCCTGGAACCTTCCCTCTCATGGCATCCAGCTGACTCTTTTGAGCTCATGCCCAAGTCACTGGAATAAAATAATGAAAAGAGAGTCCAAGATAAGCCCCAGTAGAATCAGCAATGACTGTGGCCCATACAGAATGCAGGGGGTACCAGAAGGCTGAGGCTCCACAAACCAACTCCCCATTGCCCCACATTCACAACAGGACTGTGAGGTGTATGCAGGCAAATCAAGTTCTGGACATGTACATGTGGGGGATAAACACAATTTGTGTTTTATACATATATCAGTGTATATGTGTAAGAGAGAGGAGGGCTCGGGTACACTATCTGTATGGTTCAAGTGGATGAATGTCTTACACCACCCCTGGAATGCATGTGATTCCATTCCACTGTTGTTCCTGCAGCCTGCCTCTGACAAGAACCCAATGCCCAACCCCAGGCCAGCCAAGCCCGTGGCCCCTTCCTTGGCCCTTGGTCCATCCCCAGGAGTCTTACCAAGCTGGAAGACTGCACCCAAGGGCTCAGAACTCCTAGGGACCAGGGGTCCTGGGGGAACCTTCCAAGGCCGGGACCTGCGAGGTGGGGCCCACACTTCTTCCTCCTTAAACCCCCTGCCACCATCACAGCTGCAGGTGAGGCCCGGGGCCCAGAATGGGGCAAGCAGGGTGGGGTACCTGGGCCTATAGGTGCCGACCTTTACTGTGGCATGTGGCAGGAGGGGGGCTGGCTGGGGCACAGGAAGTGGTTTATGGGTCCCAGGCAAGTCTATGACTTATGCAGATGTTGCAGGGCCAAGAAAATCCCCACTCTCCAGGCTTCAGAGATTCGAGGCTTCCCCCACCCTCCCAATCCTTGTCCCAAAAGGAGACCTTATTATGATCCCATGGGCATAGCCATGTGTCCCCATCTCACTGTGTCAAGAGGAGATGGCTGGAGCCCAGGAAGGTAAGGTGACAGTGTTGGGGCCAACTCTACCACTTTTAACTGTTTGATATTGGTGAATCATGTCTCTATGAGCCTCAGATTCCACGTGTGTGAACTGGATATGTTAACAGTCCCTACTATGTGGAACTTTAGTGAAAAGACGATGATGAGACACAGGACTGTGAAGCTGAGGCTAGCATCTCATGGCATCTGCCTTCTCCTTCCAGCTGCCTACAGTACCCCTAGTCATGGTGGCACCCTCTGGGGCCCGACTAGGCCCCTCGCCCCACTTGCAGGCACTTCTCCAGGATAGACCACACTTCATGCATCAGGTATGGAATCTGAACAGGCTGGGAAGAGGGAACAAACAGGATAACTGTAAGGCAGAGCACAAGCCAGCCTGAGCCATGGTCCATATATGTTCCTCAGCTCTCCACTGTGGATGCCCATGCCCAGACCCCTTTGCTACAAGTGCGCCCACTGGACAACCCAGCTATGATCAGCCTCCCACCACCTTCTGCTGCCGCTGGGGTCTTCTCCCTCAAGGCCCGGCCTGGCCTGCCACCTGGTAAACACATCTGCTTTCTCCCCATGGCTTCACAGAACCGCCAAGTCCTCAGATTTTTGAATATACACAATTGTAAACTTTTCTGAGTTACAGCCCTATGGAGGTCTAGAGGGGTCTTAAGAGTCATGAAAACACCAACCTCCAAAATCTGTCAGGCTTAGAACCTTGAAGACATAGAATGTCAAAAATCACAAATTGCTGCCATTACTCAAAATGTCATTACTTACCAAGGGCTGTCTTTAGGCTTCTCTGTCAGAAGCCTGCTCTGTGGGAACAGCAGAGTCCTATCAGTCAGTCTCCAAGGTCCAGGGAAGGTAGAGGCCTTCTGGGACAAGCTGCAGAGCCTAGCCTGCAGCCCCAGAAGTACCCTGTCTCTACTCACAGGGATCAATGTGGCCAGTCTGGAGTGGGTATCCAGGGAGCCAGCTCTACTCTGCACCTTCCCACGCTCGGGTACACCCAGGAAAGAAAAGTAAGTTGGCAGTGTTGGGAAGAGCCCCTTCTCTCCGCCCACCCCTCTGCTGACACCCTGGGTTCTCCCACCCCCAGCAACCTTTTGGCTGCACCACAAGGATCCTACCCACTGCTGGCCAACGGAGTCTGCAAGTGGCCTGGTTGTGAGAAGGTCTTCGAGGAGCCAGAAGAGTTTCTTAAGTGAGTAGCCTGACCCTACCCATGGGATTCTGGTGTCTGAGCAGAGATCGGGACTGCATATCTCAACTCAGAATCTTCTTGACTGATGATAAGAAAGTAGTAAAGGTTGAGACTTCATCCCTCCCTGGTTCTGTGATCTTGGGCAAGTTTCTGGGCTTCTCTAAGCCCAGGTTGCCTCACTTGTATGATGAGACATAATAATAATAAAAGTATATGTTGACAGTTATTTCCATGTGATACACAAAGGAACTAAGGCCAAACAGAATTAAGTGTCAATCAAGTTCACACAGATCCTGTATGATGGATGTTGCATATGAACTCAGGCAGACAGGCTCCAGAACCCACACTCCTAACTGCTTTGTCCTTCTTCCCATCATGCAATATACATTATGGAGCCTTGAATTTCTGCTCCTCTAGATGACTGTAGCTGTTTCCTCTCAGCTTTATATCTGCCCCCCTCCCCTTCTGTATTTTGCTAACCATACCTAACTCTTGGCAATGATGTATGACCTGCATGGCCAGGCCTTTGCATAGACTGTGCCTACCGTCTGAAGTGCCATTCTCCCTCTCACCACCTTTCTAATAGCCCAGGCCTAGAAGCCAGCAGTTGCTGAAGAGTGTGTGTTTAAGGGTATCCAGGTGTGAGAGGGGGTGGGTGTTGTTGAGTGAGGGAAACTGAGACTCTGAGAAGAAATCTCCCAAAGGGTCTGGGCTGTCCCTAATGGCACACCAAGCCAAGAGGCCTGACCCACCATGATGAGCTACATGGAATTTTCTCCTTGCTCAGGCACTGCCAAGCAGATCACCTCCTGGATGAGAAGGGCAAGGCACAGTGCCTCCTCCAGAGAGAAGTAGTGCAGTCTCTGGAGCAGCAGGTAATGCCTGCAGGGTGTGGCTGAGGGGAAAGAAGGATGTGACGGAGGACCCTCCAAGGGAAGGCCTTAGTGCAGCCAAAGGTGTGGCTGAAGACCAGGTGGAGGCCTCACTTTGGTGTATAACCCCACAGCTGGAGCTGGAAAAGGAAAAGCTGGGTGCTATGCAAGCCCACCTGGCCGGAAAGATGGCACTGTCAAAGGCTCCAGCTATGGTGAGTACCCCAAGTCCCGAGGCAGACGACTTCAACTGCTGGGGACAAGAGAGAAACCCTTAAGGACCAAGTGATCTCTTCTCACCTCCTTAGATTGCTTACAACCTTCTGACCTTGCGACCCCAAAACATCATGATCCTGCCTTTTCAAAGCAATAGTAAATAACCACCCTCAGAAGACAGAGAGTTACTCCAATGTGCCAGTGTCAGAACCCAGAGGGGGCACTGCAAAAGAAAATGGAGGGACCTATATCCAAATTTTAAGATAATAACAAGATAATAACCTCAGAACATTTAATACTGTAGGGTCCCGTGGGACCATATATTTCACACACCCAGTCCTAGGCACTTTGCTGATATGAACGTAAGTCAAGTCTCATACTACAACAGAGGTAGCTACCGCTGTCATCCTAATGAACAAATGAAGACCACTGAGGTCTGGAAGACTTAGTTGACTCTCCCAAATTCGCAGTTGGATGCTAGGGGATCCCAATTCATCCCCTGCTCAACCCCCAGCCCCAGCATCTATGGCTTCCTAGCATGCTCACTCCTGTACTGTAATCAAGATGCCCCAGTGCTGCTTTACAGCATCCCAACCCAGCCTGCAAATGACAAGTGGGCGGTGCCCTCAAAAGCACTGACCTCACTGGGTACATGGTATGCATCTGTAGTCCTAGCTACTTGAAGGAGGATCACTTGAATCCTTGAGTTTAAAACCAGCCTGACCAACACAGAGAGACCTTGTCTAAAAAAAATACTGGGTTACCACATCTAGCCATGATATGAGGGTTTGTGCCCAGTCTTATTGTATCAGAAACAGAGGAGTTGATCTGGGGGAGAGGGGATATGGAGGGAGGGGCTGGGAGGAGTGGAGGGAGGGGAAACTAAGGTTGGGATGTAATGTATGAGAAAAGAATAAAAGTTTAAAAAAATACAAATAGCCAGGTGGTGGTAGCGCACACCTTTAATCCCAGCACTCAGGAGGCAGAGGCAGGCAGAACTCTGAGTTCAAGGCCAGCCTCGTGTACAGAGTGAGTTACAGGATAGCCAGGGCTACAAAAACAAAACCTTGTCTTGAAAAAACAAAGCAAACAAAAAACAAATAAACAGAGGTAGGGTTCTGTTCAAAGGGAAAAGTGCTTGCCGTACAAGTAAAAGGGTCTGAGTTTGGATCCCAACACCCACACCAGATGTAGAATAGTACAAGTCTGCAATCCCAGTGCACTTAGGTAGAGACAGAATTACCCAAAATGCTGTGCATGGTAGCACAGGCCTTTAATCCCAGCACCCAGGAGACAGAGGCAGTCAGATCTCTATAAATTCAGGCCAGAGTGGTCTACATAGTGACACCTGTCTAAAAACACAGAATCTCCTCAAACTCAAAGCTCAAAGACCGGCTAGCCTAGCATAAGCAGAGGCATACAACAAAAGACCCTGTCTCAAACAAGGTGAAAGGTTAGGATTAACACCCAAGATTATCCTCTGATCTCTACACATGCACCAGCACTTACACACACACAAGCATGTATGTGTATAACACATCATACATATATACAAGTGACATATAAATATAACCAAATAAATAAATGCAAATTTCAAAATAAAGTGAGGTTGGGGAACTGGAGAGATGGATAAGGGATTAAGAGAATTTGTTGCTCTTCCAGGGGACCAGAGTTTGATTCCCAGCATCTACATGGCAGCTCACAACTGTTCTAACTCCAGTTCTAGTGGATCCAGTGCAATTTTCTGACCTTCACAGGCACCAGGCACACACATGGCACACAGACATGCATGCAGGAAAAATGCCCATACACATAAAACATTCTTGTTCATTTAAAATAGAAATAGAATGGAAACTGAGTATAACTCATACCTATAATCCAAGCATTCCAGAGGTGGAGTTCAAGGTCATGGCCAGAATGGGCTACATGAGACCCTGTCTCAGAAAAACAATTTTTTTAAATAAAAATAAAATGGAAACTGAGTGGTGACTTAGGAAGTCATCTCAGCACTTGGGAGGTTGATACAGCAAGTATGCTCCAAGTCTGAAGTCATCCTGTGCTACATAGTAAATTGCAGATTAGCCCATACTACAAAGTGAGACCCTGCATACATACATAGATAGATAGATAGATAGATAGATAGATAGATAGATAGATAGATAGACAGACAGATAGATAGACAGACAGACAGATAGATAAGCAAGCAAGCAAACATCTTTAAAAGTAAAATGGAAAGCCACTGTGGTAGCACACGCCTTTAATCCCAGCACTTGGGAGGCAAAGCAGGCAGATCTCTGTGAGTTCAAGGCCAGCCTGGTCTGGTCTACACAGTGGTCTACACAGATAGACCCTGTCTCAAAAAATATATATAAAATAAAAATACATGTGGTGGCACACACTCATAATCCAAGAACTCCAGAATAGAGCTAGAAGGATGGAAGGTATAAGGCCAGCCAGAAATATATTGTGAAACTGTCTCAGAAAAAAAATTAAGACAAAACTAAAATGAACAGACAAAGCATGGTGGTACATTCAGGAGGAAGAGACAGGTAAGTTTCTAGAAGTTCCACGCCAGCCAGGAGTACATAGTTAGACCCCCATTAATAATAATAATAATAATAACAATAATAATAATAATAATAATAATAATAATAAAATTTGAAAACAAAATAAACATGAATATGAGACTGATTTGTGGGAAGGAAACAGGTAAGCAGGAGAGGGAGGAAGCAGGGTGAAAGTGGTCTGTATGTATTGCACACATGTGCAAAATTGTACAAAATCACATTTAATTAATAATAAAAATACAAAATAATTTTAGAAAGGATGTAGTAAAATGAAAAGCTTAAGGCTCTCAATCACCATTCTCTCCCAAATCCGCCCAGGCCTCCATGGACAAGAGCTCTTGCTGCATTGTAGCCACCAGCACACAGGGCAGCGTTCTCCCAGCCTGGTCTAGTCCCCGGGAGGCTTCGGACAGCCTGTTTGCCGTGCGGAGGCACCTCTGGGGAAGCCATGGAAACAGCACCTTTCCAGGTCAGTGTAGTCTGCACCCCATCCAATGATCCCAAACTCCTAATACTGACTGGTGCCAGGGGTACAAAGGAGCTCCCCATTCCCCTCACACCCCCACCAAAAGTTGGGAGGAAACTGCATCTGAGTTTATTAGGCCTACAAGCTCCAGCCCTGTGTGTTTTGGGGACTGAAGCCATGCCTCACCCACTTGGTACCTGCCAGTTTGTTTGGTCACCATGAGGGACGGACCTAGCTAAAGAATTCCAAAGAACCTCCCTTCTTCCCCACCTCAAGGGGAATCAGGTGGATTCATCCAAGCTCACCAAGCCACTCCCACCTGCCAGGTTCGGGTTGTGGATTTACCAGGAACCACAACTCTTTGGTGTCATACTGGCTGCGCCACTTGAATTGCTTATATGCTTTTGATGTGCAAGTTACCTGTCTTTAATTTGGGGAGAGCTATTTTGGCAAGAGTGGTGCAAGAAGAGTCAGCTTATGGCAAGTACTCCATAAACAGTACCTCTGCGTGATCACGGCACCCACCCCCCTCCCTTGGTGCTAATTGTAGGATTTCAGGCCTTGGACTTACAGTGGAGACAAAGGTGGGACAGGGTGTGAGGAGGTCATGGGGCCTGATCTATCCCAACCCTCTGCAGAGTTCTTCCACAACATGGACTACTTCAAGTTCCATAACATGAGGCCCCCTTTCACTTATGCCACCCTCATCCGATGGGTAAGCAGGGCCTGTCAGCTGGGGGTGGGGGTGCTTGCCTCCTACACTGCTACATCCCTCTGCACCAAGAGTGGCACCCTGCATTAATAAACCTTAGCTCTGGCCAGGCATTGGTGGTACACGCCTTTAATCCCAGCACTCGGGAGGCAGAGGCAGGAGGATCTCTGTGAGTTTGAGGCCAGCCTGGTCTCCAGAGCGAGTGCCAGGATAGGCTCCAAAGCTACACAGAGAAACCCTGTCTCAAAAAACCAAAAATAAATAAATAAATAGATAAATAAATAAATAAATAAATAAACCTCAGCTCTGAGGAGCCCAGAGATGTGATCCTTCTTGATAGTTTCACCCCAGATCTGTCCCTGAACCTAAACTACTACCACAAGGCAGGCTAGTGCAAGCCAAATTGTGACACCCTTTCCATTGTCCACCTGACTACTAACTTCATCCTTGCCCCCAGGCCTCACCCCATTCTCTCCTTCCCCTCCCTTGACCCACACAACTACACACCTATCACAGGCAGAGAGCTTAGAGTAGACTCCCCCTTGAGCGTAATTCTGAGGAAACATGCTCACTCCACCTGACTCCAACTTCCAGGCCATCCTGGAAGCTCCAGAGAAGCAGAGGACACTCAATGAAATCTACCATTGGTTTACACGCATGTTCGCCTACTTCAGAAACCACCCGGCCACCTGGAAGGTAAAGTACCTCTGTAGGGGCTGGGATGGCTCCAAAGGTGGTTAACCTTGGGCTGGACCTGTGGGAGAAGGGCAGATCAGTGCTGAGGCCTGCTGAACTCACTGGATGACTATCCACCCCATCCCTGCCTGGGGTCCTGATCCTCCTTCCACAGAATGCCATCCGCCACAACCTGAGCTTGCACAAATGCTTTGTGCGAGTGGAGAGTGAGAAGGGAGCAGTGTGGACCGTAGATGAGTTTGAGTTTCGCAAGAAGAGGAGCCAACGCCCCAGCAAGTGCTCCAACCCTTGCCCTTGACCGTAAAACCAAGAAAAAAAAAGATGGACAGGGGCCAAAACATGAAACGGAGGCTGTGGAAGCAAGGAGGCAAGTCCTGGACATATCTATAGAGCCCAGGCAATGATGTTTCCACTGTCTTGCCTGTCAGGGCCTCTGCTACCTATCTAGCTGCCCTCCTGGATCATAACTTCTGCCTTGAGGCTGAGGGACATCAATCCCAGCCCAGCCCCTAACCTATTCCCAAGATGGGCTTTCCAGCCAACAGCCCTCACACCCAGCTATACTTAAAGCCTGCCTTGGCCACTCCCAAGCGGGAAAATGACACAGACATACAGTCATAAGCCTGTCCCTTGGACTCAACCCAAACCCTATGACACAAAGAGCCTGCCTTGTACATTCATCTGCCCTCAAAGTTACATTGCCCTGCAGTCTCACGTGACTGCAGTCCTACTGACTCATACCAAAGCACTCGCCCACAACATCTGGAACCATGGGCAGTATCACACATGCGTATACGTACAGATCCTTGCACAACAGCAGCACTAGAACCTTCAGGATTGCATCCCAGGAAACCATCCGGGCATAACTGGTCATACCCAGTCTCATGCTATGCCCCAAAATAGCAACAGTCAGACACAGCTTGTCAGAACTCACACATGCACACACATACAGCTCCCTCCCCTGTTATCTCCTGAGTTCCATGGATACACACTGACTCACCAAAAATGTAGCCTGTGTCTCACTTGCCACTGACCCCAGTCCCCTACCCCCAAGCCCCAATCCATGCCTCAGCGTGGACCATAGAAGAACTTCTCTTTTATTTGGGATCCAAGACGCCTTGGTCCCCAGTGCCCATTCAATAAACTGTGGCCAAGCTAGATATTCACCCTGATCAAACATGGGACCAGATAAGCAGGCATCCGGGATTAAAATCCCAGCAGGATAAAGGGGGAGGGGGGCAAACACAAGGAAGTGCTAGAACAAGTGTTTAGGCACTGTCTCCAGCACCCCCAAATTCCTGCCTGTAGCTAGGAGACTTCCATCGGGGCTCTAGGCCTCCCGGACCCGGCCCAAGAGGCCAGCATTCTCCTGGCGAAGGGCTCGGTAGTCCTCACAGATCTTCTCCAGGTTGCTCAGAGTCTTCTTGCCCATCTCTGTCTCAATCTAAGACAACATGATATACACATCTTCAGCATGCAGGGCTCATTTTCATCCCCTGCTGACCACCCCTCTACTGCACTGCTCTCTGCTCCTCCCATCCCTGTAATAGTGGCCTGTCCCTTCCCATCACCAGGCTGTGAGGGCCTTCTCTCCACCTAAAGCCATCGCTTTTGCCATGGGCTCTGGGAGGCAGGCATGAGAAGCCTCAAGCTAGCAGCCAGGGCTCAGAGTAGACTAGTTCCAGGTCCTGGGCACAGCAGGCACTAAGGCTGAGCTGGAAGATGCCTGGTTTCACAGACTCTCAATGTAAAACAAGGAGCTATCCGTCGGCCTGCCTCCATTCCCGTGCCCATTCCCAGATCTCACCTGCTCCTCCAGGTCTCGAATTTCCCTCATGATGGTGCCCGTGTCCTCAATGGTCTGGATGAGCTGGCTGCAATTCTGGAAACAACAAGAATATAAGGCTTGCACCTGTGCTAGCCCTCTACTGCCAGCCCACCAGGCCCATGGCTCCCTCACCTCATGCAGGGCAGCTAGATATTTGTAAGCTTTCCGAACAGCATCATCCTTCTTAGCGTCCTGAAAAGACAGAAAGGACAGCAAACATATCAGCAAGCCATCCCCACTGTTTCCACTACTCCTTTCCCCTACAGAGCCGCCCTTTACTACCACTCTGCCTTCACCTTCCACAGAACAAAGCTAGATCCAAGCCAACAGGCAACAACCCAGTTCCACCCCCACCCTCCTCCAGGCCAGTCCACTCTATACCTTGAACACGAGTTCATCAGTCACTGCAAATGTCCGGTCCAGCTTCCCAGAGAGAGAGTTGATTTCCTTCTGAAGTTCCTTTGTGTCCGACAAGATCTGGCAGAAACCAAGGAAGCCATCATGTCTGAGGCATGGTGGCTGGCCAGTGATGGCACTCACGTGCCTGCACTTACATCCAGTCAGGGCCTATGTCACTGTGTTGGGGTGGCTGGGATAGACTGTATGTGTCTATTATATGTTGGAGTGTGCCTGAGCAGCTCTATGAGACCATAAAGTACCTAGGTAACTACCCTGTGTCTATCTGCCCACATGATCCATTCATCAGAGCCACAGTGGCACACCTTAGTGATCTCTTCCTTCTGCTTCCGGATGTTGCCCACAATCTCCAGAATGCGCTGGGTGTAGGCCAGCCGGGACACATCTTTTGGCAGAGTCTCCAGCTCTGACACCTAGACAAAAGCATGGCAGGCATAAGCCCAAGCCCCATACCCCACCCACCATTACAACCCAGGGTCCTAAAATTGGCATTACCAGCTGCTTATAGACTTCCTCCTTCCTGCGAGCCTCTTCCGCAGCTGCTCGAACACTCTGGTGCAGCTCCTGGATTTCTGCCAGCCGTCGAGATGATTCCAGCTGCCAGGAACCCATAGACAGAAGGCAGTGAGCAGAGCTCAGAGACAGCCCCCAGTGGAGGCTATACTACACTCACAGCCCAGGACTCCGCCACCTACCTCCCTGCAGTCCTGGAGTTTTCGGAGGTGGCGGTACTCGGCAAGAAGCGGGACCCGATGTTTCTCCCACTGACTTGCTAGATGAATGACCCGCTGGGCACTACTCTCCACCACAAGCTGGCAAGAGTCAGGGGAATATGTCAAAACAGGCTGGATCCTTCCACCCCACCCATCTTGGCCCAACCCCGATCCCAGCCTACCTGCAGCTTGGCAAGGTTGGCAGCCCCATCAGGCAGCAATTCCACTGCCCTGCTCTTCAAGCGTAGGGCCTGCTCCTGCTCAGCCACACTGAGTTCACTTTGTCGACACTCTGTTTCCACCTGGTACACTCACAGCCAAGCTCCCAGTCATATACACAGCTCACAATCCTAGTGAGCCCATTATGGCCCTGGCCCAGCTCAAGGCCTCCCAGATCACTCCATGGCTACTGGATCTTCAGCTCCATACTGACAGCCAAAAGCCCTGAGTAACCCTGCAAGGCCCACCCATACAGACCCATCTTGCTCCACTGATGTCCATAGCTGCTATGTCCCCCTACAAATTCTGACTGATGCCCAAATGTACCTCTAACCCCTATAGGTCCACCAAGCCATCAAGCCAACATCTTTCTTTGCCTCACAAGTTCTCTTGAACCTTCAAAATATCAGAGGTCCCTAGTATCCTCCATCAACAAGCCTGGCATCTATAGACCTCTATGGCTTATCTCTCAAGGCCCTAGTTTTGACCTGATCCAACCCAAGTCTCTCTCCCAGCCCCTCACCTGCATAAGGTTGATTCCCAGGGTCTTCATGTCAGCTTCAACCATTTCAATGCTGTGGTTCACACTCGACAGCTGCTCCCGAAGGGACTCTAACTCCTGCTCTTGAGCTGCCCGTGTGTCCTGGGAAGCACAGGCCAGTCTAGGTAGAGCTACCAAGTCCAGAAGACAGGCAATAGCCTAGCTGACCTGACTGATGGACTGACTGACTGTCTCTCCCTCTCCCTCTCCCTCTCCCTCTCCTTCCCCCCACTCTCTCTCCCTCAGTCTCCTTACCTGTTCAGGCTTCTGGAGGGTGACTGGTACATCTGGTATCTGGGTAGCCTGGGCCTGGGGCTCCTATGGGTAGAAGCAGCAACCTGGTTGTCAGTCACACAAGGTCCTATCCTTCACACCCCAACCTCAAACCCCAAAGCACCCCCAAGTACTATACCCATGTCCACTCAACTACTGACAGTTTTCAAACTCTGACTACAGGAGAGAGTAAAATACCATCTGTAAGTACAGATTAGAGTGACTGACTACAAGGAAACTTCTCTGAGGCTAACCCTGACCACCCCAACCCTATAACCACCTGACCCTGTGACCACCCCAACCCAGTGACCATCCCAACCCTATAACCACACTGGCCAAAACGTCCACGAGAAAGGCAGGAGTTCCTCTGGATGGGTGTCCAAGGATAAAAGATGTTCCCAAAGGAAACATGTTTACTAAAGAAAAGCCCAAGGAAAGATGAGATTTGTGCTGGGAGCACTGCATACTCCCTTACTCAAGTCCCACCTATCTGCCCTTTCTCCACTCAAGTCCCAAGAAGCTAGGGGAGCCCTCTGGGCACTCTCTCCCAGTTGGAGAGGGCCTACCCAGTGAACACAGGGAACCTGTATGGAATACAGTAGTGTTAATACATAAAGCAATCCTCAAGTCAGCCATCAGCACACTCCCTGTCCACACTGGCCTACCCACCAGTTGGAAGGTAAACTTCTCTGAATGGGTGAAGCGGGAGCCTTTGGGGGTGCTAGTCTTATTTCTAACACCCCAGGGCTGGAGCATCTCTCCTAGGTCTCGGACTTGCGTCGAGGCTCCAAGTGGGCCCCAGCTTTGACGAAGATGTTCAGCCAGATGCTTGTGCAGTCGTTGCTGTGCAGCCCGGGAATCCTCCTAGGAAGAACACACAGGAGAAGAGGAAGGCATGAGAGCCTGATAGTCCCTAGGACCCTGCCTTCCCCCCAAGGCAGCTCCCTGCCCCATTGGCCACGAGCTCCCCAAGGACAGAGAGAACCTTTCTCCACAGCTACGTTTCTCTCCACTCCTCGCCCTGAAGAAGAATGTGAGCAGAGAGAAAAGTGAGCCTGGGGCTTTCAGATCAGGAGACAGAAAGGATGATGGGCAGCAATGACACAGAATGAAGAGTACGAGGCAAAAGAGGTTGAGAGTTTGGGACCAAGGAAGATAATAAGTAAAGGAGAGAACAAAGACTGATTCAGTGTTGAAGGGTACAAAAAAATCATTAATTTCATTCAGTATGAAAATAGCACAATGGTTACATCAGAATGTCCTTGTGAGTAATGACACGTCATCTTGACTACTTAACAGTTGAAAATATGTGACAGTCTGAGCTGGCTAGGATTTGATCCTGAACATCTTGTGCATGCTAGGCAAGTGTTCTACTGTGGAGCTACCTCCCAAGCTCTGAGATTTGCTCTAAAATACTGGAGGCTAAACTTAAAAGCAAATAGAAGACTAGAAGACAGGAATCAGAATAATCTATGTTTGTACTTCAAAATTCCTGTGGGCAGGGTGTTGGTGGCACCTTTAATCCCAGCACTTGGGAGGCAGAGGCAGGCGGATCTCTGTGCCTGTCTTTAAAAACAACAAAATTCCTGTGAATTTAAGCAAGTATCTGGGTGTGGTGATACATGCTTGTAGTCCTAGCACTTAGGATGCAGACACAAAGTGATTGTAAACTGTGATGCCAGCTTGGGCTATGTAGTGAGACTCTGTCTCAGATCACCCCTAAAAACCAGAGAGGGGACAGGGAGAGAAAGAACAAGCAAATGGCAACCAGAGTGGCAGGGAGAAATGGAAAGAGACAGAACCAGAAACGGACAAGGAGAAGACAGGGAGAGGAGACAAGTGGAGAAGCAGATATGGGCCAGATAAAAAGGTGGACAGAGGTGGAGAGAGAAGATGAAGAGGTAGCAGAGGGCAAGAAGGGAAAGGTGAAAGTGAACAGAAAGATGCGGTATACAAATAGGGAGACAGAAAGGTT